TTTTTTTTTTTTTTTTTTTTTTTTTCTTTGAGTCTTTTAGAATTGAAGGATTTCTCCAAGTAAAAAATTTTTTCCCATTTCAAAATATTCATGTGGTAGTTGTACTCTGCAGTGACATAAGTGAAAAACGTCTGCGCATACCTATGCTCTGAATCTGTATGCAAATTACTCAAAATATATGTAAATTTGACTTTCAAACATGCCTGATAAATTGGACTTCACAAAATGCCAAAACTTAGTATCAGTATCTTGGTCTGACAAAAGTATACTCTCGAAATTTTTTGTATACTTTGTATACTCTTCAAAATTCTTAGAAAATGTGCTGAAGTGCACGCATGCGCAAACCTTTTTTCCTGGTGTCCTCTGCAGTAGCATATATTATCATGATATATGATGCAAGGGTGGATCCAGGATTATTTTCAGGGAGTGGTTCAGAGACTCAGGGGTGCCTCAGGAAAAAAACACCCCCCCCCCCCCAAAAAATGCAAGCTCTGTGAATTGCAAACAACAACAGGAAAGAGCATCCTGTAGTTCAAACTGCATATATCGATGGGCACAAACTAGGAGCACAAAACTGTCTAAGGGGTGCACACTACAAAAAAAGGGACACAAAATAGGAGCAAAAAGTCGCTTGAGTATCGGGGTCTTGTAATGTCTTTTGGGGAGAGGGGGACGATAGAACATTAGCGACATTAAAATAATAAAAAATCTTGGAAACAAATTGAAACAAATTAAATAAGTTAATAATATAATTAATAGCCATGACATATTTCACTATATAAAATGCAGTGATAAAAGAGGAAACCACCATGCCAAAGGAATAGCATTATATGTAAATAACAGAATAACAGCAAGGGTATTTCCTATATGCCAACATCTAATCAAAATGTTATTTGGTGCAGGCTAAACAAAGAATTTTTCCATCTATCAAATGACATATGCATAGGTACGATTTATCTAAGCCCAAAGAATAATGATAAGGAGAAAAATGAAGATACATTAGAGGACCTAGAATTGGATATAATTAATTTTTTGGCCAAAGGTGCCCCTACTTCAAGGGACTTTAATGCAAAAACTGGGGAAATCCAAGAATACATAAATGAGGATGATAATAAGTATCTTAGTTTACCAGATGATTACTTTATTGATAAACAGCTGAAAAGATATTCTAGGGAAAAAGAAATCATTGACAAAAGAGGTAGATCTCTAATAGATATGTGTACTACTTGTAATTTAAAAACATTCAATGGCAAAAATTTTGGTGACTTGATGGGAAAGAAAACCTGTTTTTGATACAATGGCAATAGCTTAGTTTATTATGTAATTGGGCATATAAATCTATTAGAAAAATCTCTCATGCCAACCACTGAAGCTGCAGCAGAGATCCCTTGGGGCATGGTAGCAGCTGACCTGTTTTCTCTTAATGGGAAGGACTACTTGTTGCTGAATGATTACTGCAGTAACTTTCCAAAGTCTTGCCTACTCACTAGAACARTTAGTAAGGCAGTTATCTTGTGCATGAAGAATATCTTTGCACTTCAAGGTATCCCTCTCGTTGTCAGAATGGACAATGGGCCACAGTTTGCAAGTCCAGAGTTCACTGAGTTCTCAGGGATGTATGGATTTGAGCACCAAATATCTAGTCCTTATTACCCTAGATCAAATTGCATGGCAGAAAGCAGAATAAGGAAGCCATTGATGCAAGGAAAGATTCATACCTTGCAATGCTAAACTACAGGACCTCCCCTATGAAACATCCTATACAATAGGTGTTATGTTAATACAAGGTTAAGTGGCTTCGTTAGAGCCACTGCTCCAGGTGACTGTTTGCATAAAAGAGTTATAAGTTATTCATGAAGTATCATTACAAAGACAGTTAACTCTTGAGTATTATTATGTTAGCCATTGTTGTTAAATTTAGAGAAAAGAGGATGTAATGATTGGGCTACCTGTGGTTATTTCCGGGGTATTCGTGAAAAGCCCACCATTATGTTATTTGAAAAACAAAGAACAGATCTTTACAAAAAGCTTTCAAGAATGAAAGAAAGCCTTTTGGAATTATAAAATAAAAAAGTACCTTAGAACATCTCTATTTAGCAATAATAAGGATAAACCAAACCGAGCTCTCACAAAAATTGAAATATAAACAGCTAATACATCAGAGAATAAATGATATTGACACCCAAATTTATGGAGTAMTCTTCACAATGATGAAAGGAAAGACAAGAGACACAAAAAAAAAACTGAGTCTTTTTTCTATTTAAAAAAGATCACAACTTTATATCTAAGTCAAGTCACCAACATTAAGCATAGAATGGAGCTAACAAAATTACAGATTATTGACCATAAACTTGAAGTAAAAATGGGGCAGTATCAAAGGCCTTTGAGGAGTCTTTGTGATGTCTTTGGGGGGGGGAGGTGCCATAAGAAATTATTATTATACATGAAAGGAATGGAAGTTGGTAGCTGACTATTGAGATACAGTATATGAAGGATATATAGGTAATTGAAAAAGCAGTGTTGCTGAAAAAAAATATAAATGTTGAAAGTAAATGTTTCGGTATAGGTTTTTATTAAATGTTGATATTGATTAATTTGGGCTTCCTGTGTTATGCTGATTCATTTTGTGCGACTGTTGCGTGACTGAAACAAAATGGTGGTCATATTTTGAGGAACGTTTTCCTGGTTTTCTCAATGAAAAAGCCATAATGTTCTCCCACAGTTAGACCATTTTCCCTTGAGGTCTCTTCTACTTCATATGTGATTCTGTTTGGCGATTAACAGGTATAAGTTATGAAAATATGTTTTGTTTATTTACTTGATACTTTATACACGTGACAGAGTTAATTTCACAACCCAATGACAATAGTGTCTACAACTTTGTAGTAGGCACTAACAACGTCAAGGTATAAAATACAACAGTGCAAAGTACTATAATTTGGTATAAATATTAAGGAGATACTATCAATCCTATGGGGCTGAATTATCCTCTGAAAAGGCTCAATCTTATCCTCCGAAGAGGCTCAATTATCGTCCGAAGAGGCTGATATATTTTTATCTGCATTTTTTTATTTGAGGTCAGCCATTGGCCAAACATCGGCCTAAAATTTGAATAACAACTACAAAACCTTTCACTTTACCGTATAGAAATACCAAATGAAAGCTGTGATAAACAATATGGTTGAATTTTATGAAAACACGGCTTACTTGTCTTAAACAATCTACATTGAGACACCATACTATCAACCAAGTACAACTACGAGGTTCCATTTGTCTTCATCTCTTCAATGTCGCATCGCTTACTCTTCGGTAAAAGGGAGATTTTATTATTTAAGCCATGATTGGTTCCAAAGTTTATCTATTGTTACAGACTTACTTACACAATTTGATAACATAGAGGCTTAGCCATGATTGGTTCCCAAGTGTATCTATTGTTAAGGACTTACACAATTTGGTGACATAGAGGCTTAGCCATGATTGGTTCCAAAGTTTATCTATTGTTACGGACTTACTTACACAACTTGATGACATAGAGGCTTAGCCGTGATTGGTTCCAAAGTTTATCTATTGTTACGGACTTACTTACACAACTTGATGACATAGAGGCTTAGCTGTGACTGGTTCTGAAGTTTATCTATTGCTTACTATCAATCACGTGACTTTTTGGAGTTGACTGCAAGCGGTTGACTGGGGGGCAACTAGCGGATGCTAAGTCAAAACATATTAAAATAAGTCATCAAACTATTGTATTTGACTATTTTCACAACATCAAACCAGAAAACAAGAGATSAAAACAACCTCCAGGATTCTACAAGCCATCAAAWAAGAGCTATTACCGGAAGTGACGTCTATTGATAGCAACCGATTGTTACAGACTTACTTACACAATTCAATGACATAGTGCCTTCGTCTCTACAAGGCAGCAGCCACAAAAATGAAACCGAAAAACAAGTTGAAGAAATAAAACACTAATTTGAAAATGTACCTGGAAAGTGTTGTTTAGATATATAAAAGAGTTCCTTAACTGGTGTGGTTCCAATAGACCCATTTCAAATTCAAAATTACTGCTGTGTTTCTTGATTACRGACTCATTTGCACAGAGTTAGCCTCCAGTTTGTGCAGAATATTCACATGTTCCAGTAAAGGTCCGTCGAGTTTCAAAGTCTTTGTACTGTTGAAGTTGTTCATTCTTTACTTTACCGTTGGTATTTGTGAATATTTAAACACTGATACGAGGCTAACCCTGTGCAAATGAGTCTGTAATCAAGGAACACAGCGGTAATTGGAATTCGAAACTGGTCTATTCTCTACTTTCACATCCCCATAATGCCTTGCGTTTTTGGGGGGTAACCAATCAAAGAACTGTCCCAAATTGAAAGGTTTCTTAATTGAATTTATACTATACCTACTTTTATCTGTACAATACTGATTATCAGTTTATTCCAAGTTATTTTTGTGTCTACAGATCATCAAGAGTTTTGGTCTTACAGAAAATGTATTGACTTATGAAAAAATGTTTAAAATTTACCTTAAACGTCTTCAAGATTCTATCTTTTTCTGTTTTTTACTTTTTCATTTTATCTTTGGATACCAAACAAGGTATTTTCAACATTGTCTGATCAGCCTTCAGCAAAATAAGTGGGTTTTTACACTCTGGTTACCCCCCAAAGATGCAAAGGATTATGGGGATGTGAAAGTCGAGAATTATCTGGATTAGGTAAGATTCTTTCACATGCACTTCTGAAATCTTGTTCAAGACAGGAGTGYGGCCACGTGCCAGTCTTTGGCTGAAGAGGATTTTTTTAATATAATATAATTAAAACTAATTTGATTTGACTTGTTTTTTTTTGTTTTTTTGTTTTTCAATATCATTAATATAAAATCAAATTGAATTGAATTGAATTTATTTATGCATTAAATTTAGGCATTGGCTATTTGCTGAGTTAGCGGTTGAGTTGAGTTTGAGTTGAGTTTGAGTTGAGTTTGAGTTGAGTTTGAGTTGAGTTTGAGTTGCGCGATGGGAGGCTTCCAAAATTCCATTTTCCGTTTAAAATATGCTTCAAATTGCGAAATCGCCGAAGGCTTACTATTCCACTTCACGTCAGTCTTTTTATCAAACAATTGCCTTACAAGAGTCAGGGCTTTTGACAGGATGCGCGGGTGCGGACCCGCATAATTCGTCTTTTTCCGCACAATCGAACGATTTCCGCATAATCCGGCAAAATCCCGCATAATTCGTCAAAAGTCTAAAGAAAACTTAATAATCAAGAAGAAATGTATTATAATGTTTTCTTATTTTGATGAAATTACGAATTTTTTATAGTTTACTTACCAAATTTCAAGCAATAAACAGCGTTTAAAACTGTATATTGAATCATACGTGTAATGAAAAGGAACAAGGCATTCTTAGTTAAAAACCGTGAAAGTGCCTGGTAACTAAGATTTTCGCGCGTAAAATATTTCTCTCGTAAACATTTGAGATCTAGCGACTTCTAAAATAGCTCAAAATGGATAAATTTATTATGAAGCCGTTAAATATGGAAAAAAGAGAAGAAATTAACACGACTTAAATTATGCTATTTATAAGGATTTTTGATTTTGTGGAGCGAGTTAATTTCCTATAATAAGGCGTACATAATAGACAATCTATTACTGCGCAGTAACTACGAATATGCAAATGATATATTGTGGTGCAAGGTGAGGTGAGGTGGTAAATAACGTTGAGATTTTTTGCTGAGCTTCAAAAACAGATCATAAATTTAAGGTTTAAAAAAAAAACATTCAAAGCAATGTTTTGGAGAGAAGCATATCGAGAAGAATTGCATGTAGTGCGAAAAACATGACGATTACAAGTGTGGATTAAAAACCTGAGATAAACAAGGCCAGTGTCAAATAAAGAAGCAAAATCAAGGTAAAACTGTAAATAGTTGCGTAAAACTTTAGTTAAACAAAGTTTGGAGCTAAATAAAGAAGCAAAATTTTTTTAAAAAGTGTATAATCCTGTAAAGAAAAAAATTCAGAAMTTTTTTCAATTGTGACGTCATCCCGCATCCTATTCCGCATAATTTGCCATTTTCTCCGCATAATCCAGAAAAAAATCCCGCATAATTTCAATTTTTTTTCCCGCATCCTGTCAGAAGCCCTGAAGAGTTGTCGTTCGTTTGGCCATCACCCCACATCTATATCATATGGTAATCTCACCTTATTTTGAAGCAAGTGTGAGCTGGTTTTCAGCGATTTTTTCAGAATTTAAAGCTTAAAATCATAGAAAACTTGCAGTTATAATTGCAGAAAGACATCTYAAACAATACGCCATCTTGGTTGGCACAGATAGCCCAATGCTAAAAATTCAGGGATCCCGCACATACATAACATACATTGTAAAAGCATTGAGGCGAATGTGAAAAGCGTTATTATGAGCACCACATCATTATGTTATATTACCATCRTAAATATGGTTCATGTTCTTCTCGTGAACCTTTTGGACATGTTTACAATGTATAGTAACAAACAAGCAGTGTGACCTACCGGTACGTAGTTCAACCGGAAGTCTTACCCATATGTCTCTTGTTAGGTAGATCGAGTTAAAAATATTAAAAACAAGTTAAGAGAGAATTCTTCTCGTATTCAAGCAGTGAGCACCAAAAACTATTTTCTTGAAAAAAGGCTGTATTGTACAAGGCTAAAATCTTGTTATTCAGAGAGTCTAACTTGTTTGGAAGTGGAGATGACAGATGAAAGTGGAATCAAAGTGTTAAACCAGAGCAAAAAAAACGGGCAAAACATTTATTTGAAAATGAGGTTTAGGCCTTCATTTGCTTATTTCCCGTATATTTCCTATAAAAAAGCCTGACACAGCAACATTCTAACACAAATGCAACAAAACATCTTTGTACAATAGTGAAAATACCGCTTCAAACAGCTCAAGCATGTTAAGGCTTGGTCTTTTAATGGATCGCTCAAAAACTATTTTTGTGGAATAACTCTATTAATATTAAAGCTATGAAATTGAGTGTAGGGCCTAAAATCATAATTAGGTTTCTTGATATTTTAAGGATGGTCATGTTGACTTCCGGTGGAGAAAAATAGAAATTTAAAAATGGGCTGGCGGTTTTTATGTGACTCGAAAATTTTCAATGCGAAATTGTTAAGTACACTAATCTTAACAAGAATCTGTCCGGAATAGTTGAAAATCATTCTTAGTTAAGGCAAAAAATTAGAATATTCAATATTTTGACTCGGTCACGTGACCTGTTTTGTCAATTATCCCTTTAGCCAAAAACGAAGGACACCTATTCCGGACAGACTCTTGTTAAGGTTAATGTACTTAACAACTTCGAATAAAAATATTTGCGATTCATATAAAAACCGCCAGCCCATTTTGAAATTTCTGTTTTGCTCTCCTTAAGGTCACGTGACCACCGGAAGTCGAAAAGACCATGCTTAAAAGAAACCAAAATATCACTTTAGGTCCAAAACTCCATTTCAGAAGCTTCAGGTATTTTCTCATAGTACATCAGTTTCTAACTGTTTAAAAAAAGGTTTTGAGTGTTAACCCAAAAGGCTCCTGCAATTAGAAGTACTTGCAACCACTCTTAATTGTTAACCACAAATTGTACTCGAGGTTGTGTGATTTTCTATTCATTACATACAATTGCCCTATTTCACCATGACATCACTGCTTGTTTACGCATATGGGGGATAGAATCGTCAAATCCAATTGAAAATTCGAAAAAAAATTTGCTCCTAGCGAAAAAGTTTATCTAAAATGGCCTGGTTTTCAGATATAATGTGTTAATATGTACTAAAAAATATTCTGAGCATTAGCTGGCTATTCTACTTCTCTTCATGGATTGATACGGGTTTTAGAACAATTTTCTGTGAATTTGATTTGATCCCCTCCAATGAACATTATCCTTTGCATTTAAAGAATAGATCAATTTTCTGTGACGTCATAGTCAAATAGGGCAATTAAAATATGCAAACTCATACAAAGCAGTCAGAAAAATTCACAGGTGTTCAGTAGCTTTAATTTAAAGTGTACATCAAGCAATTTTTTTTCCCTTTCAAAATCACTTATATGTGAATAGCGTAGTAGTATGGTTGCAATAWTTTTGTACGTAAAATTTTTTTGGAGATGTAAACATTTGAATTAACAATATGCAAATGAGACGACATAAATTCAAGACTAATTTATTATACAAAAATGAGGTTGTGGAAAGAACTGCTGTTTCTTCATTTTGAAATATACAGCTTAGTTTGCACACTTTTAGGTTATTTCACTTCAGAACACTTGTCCTAAATTACACTGCAAAATGTAAAACATTCTGGAATTTATGTCATCTTATTTGCATTTGATATTTCAAATTTTTGTATCTCTGAAAAGAGAGTTCCACATACAAAAATACTGCAACCATACTACTACACTGTTCMCATATAAGTGATTTTGAAAGTAATTTTTTTTCCTTGATATACCCTTTAACTTTCACTATACACGCTTCACGAATTCCGGACTTCTGATGGAATCAAGATGCATGCCGGGAATGTGAGACCGAAAAAGTGGGCACCACATACTAAATACCTTATACACTGTTTACTATGAATACACGTTTTTATAAGCCTTTTTATTTAGTGATAAACAGTAAATAACCGGTAGGTATTACGCTGAATTTCCCCTGGTTGCTGTGTGTAGTTATGCAGGGGTTGACAGAACACAAGACAAGTGTTAGGCAAAGCACGACACCTACAGGGGAGCTTCTTAACACTTCTCGAGCATTCCCCAGCCAATCCCCAGGCACTTCATAACTCTACACAGCATAGCAAATTTTTAAATTTCTTTTATGAGATAAGAATTAAAATAACCGTTATTTTAGATAGAAATAATGCAACTGATAGTGAGCACACATACTGTGTGCTCTTACAGAGCATGCACTCCTAACCAATCAGAACACGAGATCTATAACAATTATTTTATGATTTCTTCCTTGGTCCATTCAAGAGATCATTTCGACTTCAAAGAGAAAAGAGTTTTAGCAACTCCCGGTAGAATCGAAGTAAAACACAAACAATTACTTCATAAACTTTCCACTTTCAAGAGGAGAAACAGAAGCTATTTTGTTCATTTTCATATACTTCAAACTTCGCATATCAGTGGAAGAAGGTCAACTCTAACTCGCGACAACAACCTCTTTTTTATAAAAAGTTTTAGATTCAAAGAAATAGTTCATTAAAGATAAGCTTGTGTCACGTGTCTCGCTTTCCCGCCCAACTCAGAGCCAGCGCTCAAACTCCAAAAACGATCCGAAAAACTCGAAAAACCCAGCAAAATACATTCTAGCACTCTTGAAATTCTACATGCATAAGAAAGTAAGAATAAAAATAAAACCCGAGAGAGAGATAGYAAGTGCTATTCCTCACACCAGCAAATCTGTGTTCAAAAACGTCCATGCATCGTCTAATCCTGGCCATACGGGCCTGAAACTTGATTTGACGGAGCAAATTTCACGAAAAAACTAAACTAGAAGTTCTGCTGACTAACATAAGACAGTTATAACGAATATTTCAAGATAGCTTACCTTGTAGACGAGCGTAAACTAGGATTTTTTTCACAAACACAATAAACAAGTAAGCTTACACGGAGCTGTGGCTTGATGGAGAGTCGATGGATAGCCGTGCAGTGCATTATGGTCTGGCTCCACAGGGAGCCCAAGCTGGGTTACATACATACAAAGTTTRTTTACACTGTAAAATCTTCAGTACAAATATACACCTACTTGAAAGAATGTCGTCATACGATATTAGAACATTAGTAATTTAGTGAGAAAGGAWTACATTAAAAGACAAATGAAAAAGTTCAGCTTTAGTGATCTTCTTTTGTTTTTTAATATAATTCCTATCCCACTAAATCATTAATGTTCTATTTTCGTATGACAACGTTCTGGCAAGTAGGTGTACATTACAATGAAAAAAAATGTTTTCTATGATTGCCGTGTGAGTAATTAGAAATATCCATTAAGTTTACTCCTAAACAAAGGAAAGGAATCAGCACTTCCTACATCAGACGGAAGGCTGTTCCATAAAGCTGCTCCACAGTAACTGAAACTAMGTTTCAAGTASTTTGTACGCGGTTTCGGTWGAGACAGCTTCTTTTCCATGTYTCTAAGTTCATGTACTGGGTCGCAAAAAACATACATATTTCGTAGATAAGAGGGAAAGATATCATGTAATGATTTAAACATGGATATTGCTAACTGTTTTTTCCTCCGTGTTCCTAGATCATCCCAATCAAGTAATGTAAACAGAGAGCTTGCGCTTGCATCAAAACTTGACTTGGAGTTTTTGTAATTTATTACTTAGTGTATTTCCAATGCCGTACCAAACTCTGCTGCAGTAATCAAAATGCGGCYCTATCAGGGACCTGAATATTTGTACTGCAGTGACTTGTGAGATGAACGGTCTTAGTCGTTTTAGCGCTCCAATGCCAGATGAAGTTTGATTGGAAGTTTCATCGACATTCTATTTTCAAGATAATTTATCATCTACAAACACCCCCAAGGATTTTGTTTCATTAACTCTTGCTATTTCCTTTCCCTATATACTTATTTTGATGGCTTGATCATCAGTTGTGGCTCTTGAGAGTTGTTTTGAGAGTATGAGCAAAGTGCCTATGCAGCCAAAAATTCACCTATATATCATAATCTTCATTTATGAGATAGAGTGCACGCACTAAAACCGTGAACATTAAATAGTACTAAATAGTACTATTTCATACAGAATCCTTTGTTTTCTATTGTTTAACTATCACTATTTAGTGCTAAAAATTAGTATTTGTTTCACGGATTGAGTGTGAGCACTCTAGTTCTACACTTATTTCAATAAAGCTAGTCACCTGAAAAGCTACAAAGCTAAGACCGACAAGGATTATGGGTAGATTCATTTTACATGTTTTAACCGCTTGATAACTGTTAATAATAACTTGATAATAGTTTGTGTCGAAACCTTCACTAGTTGAATATGAAATATTTCCCATGATTCTCAGCGATCACAGTATTCTAGGTTTTTGTTGACTAACTTAATTGAAATAAGTGTATATAAAATAAACAATTGAGAGAATTTAGTCTAACGGTTGAATACTTGACGTCAACTAAATTAGATAAGTTATTGTACTATTCAACTGAGTGTGACCGCACTATCTTTGGGAGGAGGGCCATTATTTTTTGAGTGCCGTTGGTGGACTACAATTTTTTTAAATGCTTTCTGGTTGTGGACGGCCTGCGAAGGGTTGTTCAAGCTCACACAAAACAATCACACGATCTTTCTTTTCTTTTCTTTTCTCTGTTTTAATTTTGAAATATAGAGTCTGATGAAGAAAAGCTAATATTACTGATAGCAACATCTAATCATGAAAACTACTAAAGAAACTAAGTTAAATTAAAGATAGCTAGAATATATTATGAAAGTTCTTGCTGATAAATAAATTTAAGTTTTCTTACAGTTCTAGAAGTCGTTTTTCCCTTTAATTTTGCCCTGTTTGGATTTGGTTGTGAGCTATTCTCTTCTTACTTTCTTGTCGACTGAATGAAGTTACTGTATTCTCCACTAGTTCAGTGCCTTGCCTCAGGTTGCTGTTACTTCAGGTTACTTTCCTGGGTTTAGGCCGGGTTTAAGTTAACCACGTCTTCAAAGACAAGCTGGCAACTGATAAATGCTCTTTTAGTACCACAATTGTAGCTGTAACTTCTTTCTCTTTTTCTTTCTTTCCACTGTGAAGATGAGTTCTTTCACTGTATTATTTCAGCTCAGATAAAATCTCTGGCTTGACTTTTTCTCTTTGCTCTCTTCGCTAACTTCTCTTTCTTGTTCTGGTTGACGTTTCGGCGTTCAACTGACTCTCAAGACATGGCACAGGGCGTATATAAGGCCGATACACACAATACATTAACACGTGAATATGAAAACAGAATTTATAATACAATACATTATGATAATGTGAGAGTATTATTGACAAACGAGTGGATGATAACTATAATAGAGAACTAGTGTAGACTGCGTCGGTGTTTCTGAATAATAAAACAGTAGGAACTTATGGATAAATTGAATCACCGTAAGAAGCTTTGTATAACTGACGTTTCGGACGTTAGTCCTTTGTTGGAGTAAGAAGGACTAACGTCCGAAACGTCAGTTGCACAAAGCTTCTTACGGTGATTCAATTTATCCATAAGTTCCTACTGAGAGTATCAGTATTGTAAAGGTACAATGCTAAGACAATACTATGCGTAAAGTTCATGAACCATGACTTAATTAACCTTACTATACTAAGGTACGGACACAGAGTGCAACATTACTCGCAACATTGCACGCAAAAAGACGACTGCCTACTCATGGAACTTGTTGCACGCAACATTGCATGCAACAAATCTGAAGTTGAATCGCGCTCTACTCGTGCAACATTGCGCGCAACAAATTTCATCGTGTGAACATGACTGCATTATTGTGTGCAACTTTTGAAATTTCCAGCCAATCAGCTTGCACCAAATTCATAACCGCTGACCAAATTT